GTACCACAGTCTGGGGGACTGCAGGTCAATCTGGGGGACTGTGGGCCAGGTAGGGGGGACTGTGGGCCAATGTTATGGGACTGTGGGCTGCCTGGCCTGAGGGGATTTGGGGCCCACTGGGGGGGTTTGGGCATCCCCAGGGAGGGCAGTGGCCCTGCTCGGTGCTGGGAGCAGGGCAGGGCTGGGCTGTCCCTATCCCAGCTGCTCCCCATCCTCTCTGGGCTCCTCATCCCCGTGGGCAGCCCCAGCCGGGCTCTCCCTGCCGTCCTGCTGGTCCCCGTCACCCTCGGAGCCCGTCTCATCCGAGTCATCCTCCTCCAGGTAGCGGTACCCGCAGGATTTGTGGCGCGGGCGCGGCAGGCGGGGCAGCCGGTACTCCACACGCCTGCGCCAGCTTCCGCTCCATCCACAGGTACGTCCCCACCGCCACCACCAGCGTCAGCAGCAGCATGGACAGCTTGGCCTGTGGCGGCACAGCGAGGCGTTTGGGATCCCCGCAGAGCTCGGAACGTCCCGGGGCTGGGCTGGGGCGCACCTGGGGCTCACCTTCATGGGCAGCCCGGACCACAGGTAGACAGCAAAGATGGCCAGGGCCTGCCACCAGTGGTAGATGGTGAAGATGAAGTCTTGGCGCTCCTTGTTCTTGTACAGCATTCCTAGGAGGACTGTGGCAGAGATTGCAATCAGCGCCTCCCTTCCTGTGCAGTGGGTCCCCCTGGCGTGGGGGACAACGGGACGACCACAGTGGGTCTGTCCCGCAGATCCCAGGAGTGGGAGCGCAAGGTCGCAGCGCCAGGGTTAGTGGGGAGAGGATGAGTGGAGAAGCTGGGGACAGCCGAGGCTGCTTTGGGGACCACCACCGATGATGCTTTGGGGATAACGGAGACATTTTGGGGACCACCGAGGCTGTTTGTTTGTTTGGTTTTTTTTTCCCCCACCACTCACTGCTGATTCCGGTCTTGTTGAGGGCGCTGCCCGTGCCCCAGAGCGCGGCGAAAGCGTAGAGCAGCGGCGCCTGTGCCTGCTGCCGGGGCTCTGGCGCCCAGCAGAAGAGCATCACCAGGAGTCCAGCGTGGATGACGGCCCCAGCCAGGAGCGGGATGTGCCGGCGCAGGCGCAGCATGCTCAGGGCCAGGCTGGAGCACGCCGAAGCAGAGAAGCCGTAGGCCATGAGGAGATACGCCAACTTCTCCAGCCCCAGGGTGCACACGCCGTAGTTCTGCGGCGAGTGCGAGCTCAGCATCACGTGGCCCTGCTCCCTCACCCCCCCACCCCATCCCAGGTCCTACCAGGGAGAATCCGGTGCAGACGAAGAGCACCTCGAAGCCGCTGTAGATGAACAGCGGCAGGAGGTGCTGCAGGCGGTAGTCCCGCATGTGCTTGAAGGGCAGCTGGAAGATGTTCCCCCAGCCGATGCTGCGCATGTCGATCTCCTCCATGGGCCGGTACGCGGCGCCGCACAGCACCAGCACCTGCCGAGCGCCCAAGGTGAGGCGCTGCCCCCGCCCAGCCCGGCGCTGTCCCCACCCCGCCGGCCCGGCACTCACCACCAGCATGGCGAGGAAGGCGGCAGCCATCAGCGCGCTCTCCACCACGATGAGGTTGACGCTGCGGGGGAGGCTCTGCAGCACCGTCTTGTTGAAGCCGGGCAGCATGCCGTGGCTCAGGGTCCCTGCCGGGGAAGGGGGGGGGAGGGCACACTGCAGTTAACCCCAATGGGAGCGGGGGGCTCCCGGTGCCGCCTCGCGCCCCCGCGGCCTCACCGCAGTGCTTCACCGTCGCCAGCGTGTGGTTGAGCTGGTACAGGTAGTTGTTGAGGAAGAAGACCATGGGCAGCTGAGCGCAGACGAAGCTCAACTAGAAGATGTAGCAGGGGGGGCAGGCTCAGCGCTGCCGGTGTGGCCCCCGCCCCGCCTGTCCCGCCCATCCCACCGGCGCTCACGTGGAAGCAGGAGTAGAAGACGGTCTGGAAGACGATGATGTAGGTGTTGCAAGCGTCCCGTGGCGCCCGCTCCTTCTCCTGCTCCTCCTTGTAGTTGACGTACTCGTAGTACTTCTGGGCCATCCTGCACGGCACAGCAGGTCAGCCGGCACCCCAAGGCCCTGTGCCCCCTGCCCGCCCACCCGATGCCTACCGCGTGATGTAGTTGCCCATGGAGGCCCAGAGGGGCACGATGACCACGCCGATGGCCACGGCGGAGGGCACCAGGGTGTAGTAGCGCTCCCAGTAGTTGCTGGAGACGAAGAGGGCGTAGATGCCCACCGCCAGGAACATGGCCCACTTGGTGCCGAGAAACCTGCCGGGGCGAGGAGCGGGCAGTGTGGGCGGCTGTGCCGGTGCGCCGTGCCAGCCGGGAGCGTGGCGGAGCCGTACCTGATGAGGATGGGTGTGTAGAGCAGCGCTGCCACGGGCGTGACGTTGATGCCCATCAGCACCTTGTGGTCGATGTCCTCCAGCTGGATGTTGCTGTACTTCACCTCCCGGTAGGTCTCGTCATAGTGAAGGATCAGCTGCATCTGCAGCAGGCCTGTGGTGGGGGAACCCGGGGGCGGTCACTGCATGTTCTGAGCACCCCGGATGGTTTTAGGGACCCCTGGGAGGTGCCCATACCCAGGTATACACCGTAGGTGAGGGTGCCAGCCAGACTGGCGGCCACCACGTTCTTGATGACGCCGAGACGCTTGCGGCGGAAGTACTTCTGCTCCTCCTCCTCCTCATTGTAGTCGGGGTGAGCGCCCACAAAATCATCCAGCTGGAGGTGACCCTGGCTGTCAGACCTTGGGGATGGCCACCACAGGCCTGCCCACCCCCCCATCCCCTCCAGGTTCCCTCCCCTGGTCTCACCTGTGTCTCTGTCCCCTCAGTGCCCAGCCTGGCACCCAGCACCATCTTGGCCCCATCCTGGCAGCAGTCGGGGTCCTTCTCCATCACTGCTTCTGGGGGAAACCGGGATGGTGCCAGGATGGGGAGGAACCTGTTGGTACCCCAAGTCTTGTACCCATGTATTTTGTACCTCTGTGTCCTTCATACCCAGACCTTGCACCCCCCGACTCTGCACCCCTGTGCCCAGCACCCCCAGACCCTGTGCCCATGTGCTCTGCACCCTGAGAGATGCACCCCCAGACCTGCACCTATGACTTGTACCCCCAGCCCTCGTACCCTTAACCTTGCATTTCCTGCACCCATGTGCAGGATGGGTGCATTTCCTGCACCCGTGTGCCCAGCACCCCCAGATCCTGCACCCATGACTTGCACCGGTGTCGGGCACCCTGCACCCACGTGCTCTGCATCCCTACACCCTGCACGCCCCGAACCCAGCACCGTCCCCACCCCCTCAGCTCTGCACCCCCCCGAACTGCACCCCTGGGCCCAGTACCCCCAGCCTCCACCGCACCCCCCAGCACCCCGACCCCTGTACCGGGTGCCGGAGCCTCCCGGGGCGGGGCTGTCGCTGCTTCCTCTTTCGGACGGGGCGGGCGGGACGGGGGTGGTTAAAGGAGCCGCTCCCACATTCCCCCCCACTCCACCCCCGCACCTCTCGTGTCCCGGACTCCCCCCGGCTCCTGCACCCCGTTCCCTGCCCGCAACCCCCAGTGCCCTGCACCCGCCCTCAGCACCCCGACCCCCCCAGAACCCATCACCCTGACCCCCCTGCACAGCACCCTGACCCCCCGGCACCCATCGCTCCCCCGTTGCACAGGAACCCTCAGCCCCCACCGAACTCCCCTCCCAGCCCCCCTGTACCCCACAGCTCCCCAGTGCTCCCACCAGACCCCGGACTGGGTGCTGCCTCCTCGGTGTGTCCCGTGGCACTGGGTGCTGGTCCCGGCTGCTCTCGCTTCCCCTTCCCTGCCCGGGGGATGTGCCAGAGTGCCTGGGCGGGGGGACACCCCAGTCTGGGGGTATGGGGCACTGCCTGCCCTGCTGTCACCCCAAAGTCAGGGTGCATGGCATGGCAGGGTGCCCCGGGGCAGGGTGGGGGGACATGGGCAGGGCAGGAAGGGGTGACATCTTCAGGGCAGGATCTGACCCAGCCGGTAGCGGGGGATTCTTGACATGGGATTCTTACCAGGCTGCTGGTTCCTGAAGGATGAGTGGGATATGTGGGGAACAGCCCCAGAAGGGTCATGACAGTGGGGTAGGGGCAGCACCCATCCTGAGGGCCCCCCACACCCCAGGTGAGGGGAGCCACCCTGGAGTGCCAGGGGGAAAGGGTCCGTCCTGGGAACAGGATGAGGGTTGTCTGTGTGGTCCCAATGGATCAGGGTGGTTCTGGGAGCAAGGTGAGGGGTGTCTCTGGGGTCCCAGTGGGTCAAGGTTCATGGTGGTGGCTTGGTGGCTGTGGGAGTTCCCCAGTGCCACTGTCCCATGGGGGAGGTCCCATCCTATCCCATCCTAGACCTTTTCCCAACTGCCAGCCCCATGGAGGCGGGGCCCAATCCTCCCCGCCCCTGGCCATGGGGCCCAGCCACTGGCCCCACAGCATTTAGGGGCCCCTGAGCCTCAGCAGCGCCCACCTGGCCTCCCGCTCCTCCAGCCCCTGTGCAGCTCCCAAGGTAGGCACTGCGGAGTCCCCAAAACTGGCGTCCCCTGCGTGGCACCCCCTTAGCATCCCCCCTGCAGGTGGGGGTTGTGAGGTATTGGGGTGGGTTCCCTCGAGGAAGGGGGTGGGTGAGGAGAGGAATGGGGGGACAGATGTGGGGCTGCAGCTCTGTCCCCCAGATTTGGGGGTGTCTTGTCCCTGAGGTCCCCATGGGTGACCCCACATCAGGTGAGCAGCCCGGGCAGGTCAGTATCCAGAGGCTGGCAGTCATCCTGGGAATCCCAGGCATCTCCCGGGGCCTCAGGCAGCAGCACTGGGCTGAGTCACCCCAACAACCAGGACGGCCCCGAGCACCCAACCGCCCTTCAAAGGTGCCGCAAGTGACTCCTCTTTGGATTGAGCGCTTCGATCCTGGCATAAGCTACCCCGTCTCTCCCCAGGGCCACCACACTCTCCATGGAGACCGGCAGCACCTTCCAACAGCTTGGCAAGCAGCAGCCCCTTGAGCCCCCCGGGCAGCAGCCCCTGGGCTGTGGCAAGTGCAGCTCCACAGGCAGCGATCATGGCAAAGACCTCAGGAAAGCTGCTGGGTGCAGTGGAGGCAGTGGGATCGGGAAGGGACCAGTACCGCTGGTCTGCAGCACTGTGTGGTGAGAACAAGGGGCTGGGGACAGGAGGGAGACAGGAGGGTGGGCAGGGGGGCTGTGGCAGTACCAGGACGTTGGGGACCCCAGGTTGGTGCTGGGGGACAAGTCTGGGATATGTGGGCCACCGCCTTCCAGCATGGCCCAGGGGAGAAGATGGGATCTGCTGGGAACAGTGCCGTGTTGGGCTGTTCCTAGCAAGGGAAAAGCACAGGTGTGTGGACTCCCTGCCCTGTCCCCAGGGACTCTGGGGCTCCAGTTTGATGCTGGAGCGTGGGACGACATGGATCTGGGGTGACGTGGTGCTCTGAGGAGCTGAGATGGGGTTGGGGTCCGTCTGACACTGCCATCCCTGCAGTGGGAACCCCTATGCTGGGCTGGTGAGCCACCTGAGGGCATCCTGGCTCTCCGGGAAGACACGGCCCCTGGAATACCGCATGACCCAGCTGGAGGCCCTGGGACGCTTCCTGGATGAGAAGAAGCAGGAGATCCTGGAGGCCACTGATTTAGACATGGGCAAGGTGAGAGGGGGGCTGGGATTTGGGGGCCACTGGCATCATGTCTTTGGGGTCCTTCATGCCCCTTTGTCTGGCTGTTGCATCCTCGTGGGGCTCAGGGCACGGGCATGTCTCCTCGCCAGGGTCCTGTGTCCCTCTAGGTGTGCTTCAGGGCTGGTGTGGCGCATCCATAGGTGCTCAGTCCCCTCAGATCTGGGGACAGTGGAGGGCCTGTGCTGCTGATCCCATCCCTGGTGCCCTGACATTGGGCAAAGGCCACCTTGGCTGACGTGAAGTGGGAACGTTTCACCCGCTGTGTCGCCCCCACACATCCAGCCCCTGGGGGTCTGTGTGAGCTCCACAGAGGGTGATGTCCTGGGGTGCTCCTGGCCAGCCTGGCACACCCAGGATTACTGGCATTGTGCAAGGCGCTGGCGCTGCACATTCCCAGAGCCTTACAGGGACTGGTTTCACTGGCATGGTGGCATGGGCAGGGATCTGGATATGGCTCAGGGTATTGCAGCATGCCAGGAGGTCCTGGATGAGCCGCTGACGAAGCGGAAGCATCCCTGCCATGGATAATTCCAGTGGTCTCAGCTCATTGTCTCTGGAAGTGTTCAGGCTGGACAGGGCTTGGAGCAACCTGGTCTAGTGGAAGGAGGCCCTGCCTGTGGCAGGGAGTGGCGCTGGATGAGCTTTAAGGTCCTTTCCAACCCAAACCATTCCAGGGTTGGTTCCATGAGATGATCCTCACCTCTTTGTCAGGCATCAGTGCAGCAGCCTGTGCCCTCAGCCACGTCCTTCCACGTCCTGCCATCTCCCAAGGCTCCTAATTGCCTTGTTTGTTGGATGCAAGTCCTTCTCTTTCAAGCCAGGCCTTGATAGGCATCAGTGTTACGAGTGTGTCTGCCACCTCTCCTAATTATGCCTAATTAGATCTGGTTGTCCAGTAATGAGCTTGTTATGCAGCCAGGCCCTCATAGTTGGATGGACACTTCACCTGCTCTTACGTACCTGAGGTGGTGCCTCACGTCCAGTGATGCCGGTTCCTCTCTGGTGCCGATGATCAGCAGCGCTTGGATGACCTCAGACTTAATGTCCCATCTCCCAGCCTTCGTATCCCATCAGAACCCATAATGACTCATCACCTTCCTCACAGTGGTGATGCAACTGTCATCCCAGATCAAGAGCGGCCCCGTTGCTTCACCGGATTATGCCACGTGCCTGCGGAACTCACGTCCGGGAGGGTCCTCACGCTTCCTGGCAGCAGTGCTTTGGGGACCGTTTTGGGGTGGTGGAAGAGCATGGGAATCAAGGACCAGCCTTCCCAACCCCAAAGTAGTGTGGTGATGGGAGTGAAGGCTCCAATCCAAGGATGTTTTGGAGTTGGAGTAGTCCAAAAGTCCAAATGTCACAGCACAGGAGCTTTGCTCTTCCAGCTCTTCACAGTCATGAGGGGGCTCCACTGAGCCTGCTGGGTTATCCTGGTGTCTTCACAGTTCTCCTGCAAGTGTGATCCTGATCTGTGCTCTGTGGCCGTGGAGAGGACCCACTTCTCCATCTTGAGGGGTTTAATTGAGCTGTGGTTCTTTGTACTTCCCTTTAATCAAGGTCTTAAGTTCAGGTTTTGTCCATGGGCATGGGGAGGAAGCTCCAGGTTTTACTTCCAGCTTGAGTACCCAAGTGGTCAGGATGCAAGAGCATTGTCCCATCCCAGGGCAGCAATGTGGAACTGCCTCTGGCACCAGGACCAGCTCTTCTGAAGCTCCAGTGATATTGCTCTGTGTCCTCTTGGCTCAGGGCTCTGTTGCTGGTTCACAGTGCTGAGCTCAGGAATTTGTTAAATATCATGAAAATATCATGATATATTCAATTTTGGTGGTTTTTTTCCCTCTGGTCAAATACCTGTTTTCATACAGTTTCTGGGACACTGATATTCCCTGGGAGTTACCGGGGGTGATGGCAACTAATATTAAAGAGCTTCTCCTGCTCTTCGTGCTTGGAAGAGGGGAGAGACACCTCCTGGGGTGGTGGGGTTGGTGATGGGGTTGGTGTTGGGGTGACATTCTGTGATGTGTGTCCCCAGCCGTCCTTTGAGGCTTACTTCACCGAGGTCCTCCTCTGCAAGAACGAGCTCAACGTCACCCTCAACAACCTGTGCCACTGGATGAAGGACGAGCACGTGGACAAGAATCTGGTAAGAGGGAAGCTCTAGGGAAAGGGAAGGCAGGGAAGGGGATTGCTGGTGGGGAGGACAGGACTGAGGTCATGGACGTTCTCACAGGTGACGCAGCTGGACTCTGCCTTCATCCGCAAGGATCCGTATGGGGTGGTGCTCATCATAGCGCCCTGGAACTACCCCATCCACCTCTTCCTAGTGCCCCTCATCGGGGCCATCGCTGCTGGTGAGCCCCACGTTCCAGTCCCCTGGCCCAGAGGATCTGGGCAGTGCTGGGGTATCGTCCCCAGGGGGGCTGGCTGTTACAATGTCACTGTGCTGATGTCCTGTTGATCTCCCCCCAGGGAACTGTGTCATCATCAAACCCTCAGAGATATCCAAGAACACCGAGAGACTCGTTTCTGAAATGCTGAGCTGTTACCTGGACAACGTGAGAAGCCCTTCTTGTCCTTGTCCCTGTTCCCGGGCCATGGTGTTCTCAACCCTGCCTCGCAACCCCAACCCCACATATCTTCCATGTGCTGAACCTCCTTCCTCCACACCCAGCTGGTGTCCCAGCATCCCAGGATCCTGTTGGTGGGGACAGATGGTGACAGGAGGTGTCCTATTCCCTTGCAGGACTGCTTTGCTGTGGTGACTGGGGGTGTGCAGGAGACCACCAGGCTACTGGAGAACAAGTTTGACTACATCTTCTTCACTGGTATGTCCCATGGGACAGAGCAGAGTCATGCCTGGATTTGGTGTGAGGGGGAAGAGGGATTCCCTCCAGACACACCTGCTAAAAGGCAGGGATTGGCTTGGGGTTGTGATGCAGGGATGTGTTGGAGGATCTGGGATGTGTGTCTGAGATCTGGTGGGACTCAGTGTGCGTGCTCTGACCCCCCAGGTGCCGCATGGCAGAGCTGTGCGATGGCTGGTGGGTTCATCCCAATCCCCCGTGTTTTCCATGCCCACAGGCAGCCCCTCAGTGGGGCGGATTGTGATGACGGCGGCTGCCAAGCACCTGACGCCGGTGACGCTGGAGCTGGGGGGCAAGAACCCCTGCTACGTGTCCGACACCTGCGACGTGACCAACGTGGCTCGGCGCGTGGTCTGGGGCCGCTTCTTCAACGCAGGGCAGACCTGCATCGCACCTGACTACCTGCTCTGCAGCCTGGAGATGCAGGAGAAGCTCATGCCCGCCCTGCGCGAGGCCATCGTGGAGTTTTTCGGCCCCAACCCCAAGAATCCCCGGATTTTGGGCGCATTGTGGGGGACAAGCAGTTCCAGCGGGTGCGGAAGCTGCTGTGCAGCGGGCGCGTGGCCATCGGGGGACAGACGGACGAGGCTGAGCGCTACATCGGTGAGGGCTCGGGCCTCACGCGCGTCTTTGTCCGTGCACAGAGCGGATATGGGGTGTGGAGAGGGCCTCGCGTTTGAAGTGGGGGGGCTCTAGAGGGAAATGAGGTTCAGGGAAGGTTTCCACTGGAATTGGGTGCTTAGGGATGGGTCTTGGCAGGAGGTCCATGGTGTCACCTCCGACCTTCTGTGCCCGGCTGATGCCGTGGGGTTTCTTCTCCGCAGCTCCCACGATCCTGGCAGATGTGCAGCCCTCGGACCCTGCCATGCAGGAGGAGATCTTCGGGCCCATCCTGCCCATCGTCGTCGTGGCCAACATGGACGAAGCCATCGACTTCATCAACGCGCGGCCGCGGCCGTTGGCCATCTACGCCTTCTCCTGTGACAGCAAGGTGAGTCCGTGGAGCAGAGCAGGTGGGGAGGAAGATCAGGCACCACCCCGACAGCCCCCCAGACGTGCTCTGGAGGGATCACTCTGGGATCATCTGATGGATGAGTTGGGTGACGTTTGCCAAGTACAAGACCCTCATCCGCCTCCTCTGCTCCCTCCCAGGTGGTGAACCAGGTCCTGGAGCGGACGAGCAGTGGCGGCTTCTGCGGCAATGACACCCTGATGCACGTGACGCTGACCTCGCTGCCCTTCGGAGGGATTGGTATGTCCAGAGCCCCCAGGCCTGACCAGCTTCATTCTCCCTTTTAGGAATAGTGGGAACTGATAAATACATGGAGATCCTCCTCAGAAAAGGGGAAGTTTTTGTTCTCGGGGTTGGTGCAATTTGTTTTCTCAGGTGAAAAGCGAGGTCCCTCAGCCCTGGGCCTTTGCTGCAGCATGGTCCAGGGATACAGGAACACAGGAGTGTTGTTCCCCAGAATAATTCCCAATCTCCTCATCTCTCCCCAGAATATTTTTGGAATAAATCCCTCCCTTTGGTGCTGCCCCTTCTCAGCATCTCTGTTGGGGCTCGTGGCTGAGTCAGACATAATGAAACACCTTAACAATTAATTCCTCACCTGCCTGTGGCTCAGCAAACAATTTTTGGTGGTTCCCATTCCATAAGTTATCTTAATTGGGAATGATTCAAACCAACCACCTCCAATTATCAGCTAAAGCCACTTTAGAGCAGGGGAATGGGCTGAAGTCATCGGGGTGAGACGGGAAGTCACTGGACTCAACCTCCAGTTAAACAGGAACTGGGAGAACTGGGTGTTGCCAATGTGGCTTCAGGTTTTAAGAGCTCTAGGAAGAAGATGGAACAGCTCCAACTGTTGGGAGATGCAGTGGAGCATCATGGAGGGAAATCAAGGCTTGTATAGCCCCAACAGAGCTTGTGTAGATAAACAGAGGTGGATAAAAACAAGGTGCTGAGGCCTCCAAATGGCTGAGTTACAGCAGGATTGGTTGGACTGCATATCCATAGACCTGGAAGAGGCACTGGGAAGGATGGAATTCCTCCACCATGTCTGTGTTGCTCAACAGAGAAAAGCCTGGAGGGTTTTTTTTTTTTTTCCTCTCGTGTTGATGCTCAGAGTGGGTGTCACCAGGAGCAGAGTCCCATCCTGAGCATGGACCTGTCCTGTGCATTCCAGGGAACAGCGGCCTGGGAAAGTACCACGGGAAGTTCACCTTCGACACCTTCTCCCACCACCGGGGCTGCCTGCACCGGAACATGGGGCTGGAGGCCCTCAATGCCCCGCGCTACCCGCCCTACACCCAGCAGAAACTGGGGCTCCTCACGGCCACCTTCGAGGTCAAGCGCAGGGGCACCTGCACCCTGCTCTGAGGGTCCCACGTCCTGCTCCGAGGGTCTCCACGCACAAGAGTCGCTGTGGAGAACCAGGACTGTCCCCCGATTCTCACAGTGTCCTTTGCCTTGCTGGAGCGCGTTGGACAGCCGAGATGGACGCCCCCTCCTGCACCCTTGTGGCCTCTGCTCTGGACTGTTTTCCAGGACGCAGCTGAAATGGCCCAGAAGCTCTTTTTCCTCTTCCTGGTGGAGAAACGGTCCCGTCAGCCCCCTCTCCCATCACATGGACGATGGGGATGATCCTCCCTCTCCTCACTGTTGCTCTTTCCTCCGTGTAACTCTGCCTGTAGTAAAGACTTTGCATTGAGCTCTCTCCTGCCTCTTCTCGTGCCTCCGTCCTCCGGTTTGGGGGGTGCTGGGAGGTGCCCTGGGCTGGATTTGGCTGGAATGGAGCCAGCGGTGATAGGCAGCCCGGCAGGCAGCCAAGGGGCAGAGCAGGAAACTGGCAACCACCCTCCTTTGCACTCCCCCAGGGAAGGGGGAAGCTGCAGTTGGTGGCCTCAGGGCAACCACCCCTGTGTTTGCTCCTGTGGGACCATGGAGACTGACAGTGTCTCCCTGCAGCCCACCGGGAGCGGGGCTGGTGATGCCACGAGGTAGGAGTGTGGTGGGACAGAGGGGTGGCAGGAGGGGTCCTGGTGCTCTGTCCTCTCTATCCCACTGGAGTGGCAGTGGGATAACAGGATAGGGTGATACAGAGCTTGGAGGAGCTGGGCTGGGACTGGGGTCCCTCTGACACCCCTGTCCCCGCAGTGGGAACCCCTATGCTGGGCTGGTGAGCCACCTGCGGGCATCCTGGCTCTCCAGAAAGACACGGCCCATGGAATACCGTGTGGCCCAGCTGGAAGCCCTGGGACGCTTCCTGGATGAGAAGAAGCAGGCGATCCTGGAGGCCGCTGCTGTGGACATGGGCAAGGTGAGAGGGGCCTGTAACTGGGGAGACCTGGTGGCAGGAGGAACTGAAGGGCTCCCCCACCCCAGCTGAGGGCGCTGTGTCCTCCTCCCTCTGGGTGCTCCATCCCTTCATGGATCTTCCCTGGGTTCACAGCCTCTGGAGTTGGGAGACTGAGGTGAAGCATGTCCCAGGCCCCCTCCAGAGCTTGTCCCTGCCCTGACATGGGCAAAGGGGGCTGTGGGAAGCCTCCTGACATTGACAGCCATTCCCACACCTGCCAGCCTCTGTTTCCCTCTTTCCTGGGCAGGTTCGTCCCTGCTCCCTGCCCGGGATTCCCACTGAATTGTCACCTCCTTCCCTCCCTAAGGGCTTGCCCAGGCTTCGGCATTCCGAGCCTGGACTCTGTGGCTGCGCTCTGTGGCTCTGCAGCTGGAGCCTCACTATCACACAGGGCTCATTGTCTGCTGTTCTCCAGCCTAGACCCTTTGGACACCCTCCCTCCCCATCCTTCCTGCTGTCTGGATCAATGGGATCTGCATCATTTTTCCTATTTTTTTTTTTTTTTAAGCAGTCAGTGCTTAAAAACCTCATGCCATAGACACAGGGCAGGGGGCTCAGCACCCTTGGGGGGTGCCCGTTCACCATGGGATGGCGGAGGCTCCAGGGCGTCAGACCCCAAATCCTGGGGAAAACAATGTGGAGTGTGAGGATATGAGCTGCCCTGTGCTGCAGGACACACTGAGATCACGTGTCAGGTCCTCTGTGTCCCCAGCCGCCCTTTGAAGTTGAATTATCTGAGGTGTTCCTGTGCAAGAATGAGCTCCACGAGACCCTGAACAACCTGTCCCACTGGATGAAGGACAAGCAGGTGGACAGGCCTCTGGTGAGAGGGCAGCGGAGGGAGAGGACGGGAGGCAGAGCCGGGGTGGGATGGTGGTGCAGGATGGGACCTGTTGTGGTGGGTGTCCTGCAGGCAAACCAGTTGGATTCGGCCTTCATCCGCAAGGAGCCGTATGGGGTGGTGCTCATCATAGCGCCCTGGAACTACCCCATCTACCTCATCCTGGGGCCCCTCATCGGGGCCATCGCTGCAGGTGAGCCCCACCTTCCAGCCCCCTGGCTCAGAGAATCTGGGTAGTGCCAACCCTGGCAAAGGCACCTTGTCCTCAGAAGGGCTGCCTGTTACCATGTCACTACTCCAAAAGCCTGTCCATTTTCCCCCAGGGAACTGCGTCATCATCAAACCCTCGGAAATATCCAAGAACACCGAGAGACTCCTGGCGGAAACGCTGCCCCACTACCTGGACAAGGTGAGATGCTGTCCCCATACCTGCCTTGTGGCTGGGGTGTTTCTACCGCTGCACACTCGGAGCTGTGCCCTGTGCCCACCCCTACACCATCCCTCGTTTTGTGAGCTGCCCAGCCTCCTTCCTCCATACCCAGTGAGTGTCCCAGGACCCTGTTGTTGAGGACAGATGGTGACAGGAGGGAGATCTGTTCTCTTCTCATACAGGACTGCTTTACTGTGGTGACTGGGGGTGTGGAGGAGACCACCAGGCTGCTGGAGAACAAGTTTGACTACATCTTCTACACAGGTAATCCTGTGCGACAGAGCAGAGCCCTGCCTGGCCTTGGTGTGAGGGGGAAGAGGGGTTCCCTCTGAACAAACTGCTAAAAGGCAGGGATTGGCTTGGGGTTGTGGTGCAGGGATGTGTTGGAGGATCTGGGATGTGTGTCTGAGATCTGGTGGGACTCAGTGTGCGTGCTCTGACCCCCCAGGTGCCGCATGGCAGAGCTGTGTGATGGCTGGTGGGTTCATCCCAATCCCCCGTGTTTTCCATGCCCACAGGCAGCCCCTCAGTGGGGCGGATTGTGATGACGGCGGCTGCCAAGCACCTGACGCCGGTGACGCTGGAGCTGGGGGGCAAGAACCCCTGCTACGTGTCCGACACCTGCGATGTGACCAACGTGGCTCGGCGCGTGGTCTGGGGCCGCTTCTTCAACGCGGGGCAGACCTGCATCGCACCTGACTACCTGCTCTGCAGCCTGGAGATGCAGGGGAAGCTGCTCCCTGCTCTGCGCGAGGCCATCATGGAATTCTATGGCCCCAACCCCCAAGAATCCCCGGATTTTGGGCGCATTGTGGGGGACAAGCAGTTCCAGCGGGTGCGGAAGCTGCTGTGCAGCGGGCGCGTGGCCATCGGGGGACAGACGGACGAGGCCGAGCGCTACATCGGTGAGGGCTCGGGCCTCACGCACGCCTTTGTCCGTGCACAGAGCTGATATGGGGTGTGGAGAGGGTTTCCATAGGATTTGGGTGCTTGGCGGGGTGTCCCTTCATAGAGGGGCTGGGGTAGCTCCAAGGCGTCATCTCCGACCTCTGTGCCCGGCTGATGCCGTGGGGTTTCTTCTCCGCAGCTCCCACGATCCTGGTGGACGTGCAGCCCTCGGACCCTGCCATGCAGGAGGAGATCTTCGGGCCCATCCTGCCCATCATCGTCGTGGCCAACATGGACGAAGCCATCGCCTTCATCAACAGCCGTGAGCGGCCCTTGGCTGTCTATGCCTTCTCCTCCAGCGACAAGGTAGAGTGACAGCAGGACTGTGCCCGCCCTGTGCCCCTTGGCGGCCGTTTCCAGCCATGTCTGAGCTCCAGATATTTTCCTTAGAGCACACAGCCCTGGTTAGGGGTGGGGGGAGGGGGATGGATTGCAGCTGGAGCTGTGAGAGTGAGGTTGGACACTCACTTCCCTCTTTCTCTGCTCCCTCCCAGGTGGTGAACCAGGTCCTGGAGCGGACGAGCAGCGGCGGCTTCTGCGGCAACGACACCCTGATGCACGTGACGCTGACCTCGCTGCCCTTCGGAGGGATTGGTATGTCCAGAGCCCCCAGGCCTGGCCAGCAGGAGCCAGGTGTGATGCCACCCATGGTCAGGAAGGGTCTCAAGGGGAACCCTCTGCTCCAGAGGGCTCAGTGGTCCCTAGGGAAATTCTCCTTCAGAAGCTATTTGCCTCACCTTGTGCTCTTTGGCTTTGCTGGACACACGTGGAGCACCCTGAGGTTCCTTCTCTCTGTATTTCCTGCCCCAACCTCTCTGTTCCCTGTGTCTGAGGGAATGTCTGGCTTAAAACATCGGGAACTGGGGCTTGGAGCAACACGGTCTAGTGGAAGGTGTCCCTGCCCATGGCAGAGGGGTTGGGACTGGATAGTCTTTAAGGCCCCTTCCAACCCAAACTGTTGTGGGATTCCATGATGGAGACACTCAGTTTTGATGGGATGATCTCCACTATCATGGAAAACCACCTGAATCCCGCTCAGCTGGCCGGGTACCCTCAGTGCCATCACCCTTTATCCCAGGGTGACACGACGCCCAGCCCTTTGCCCCAGGCAAGATTTGCATTTTATCAGGAAGACGAAATGCCTCGGGACCACTCACTGAACTTTATCCCATCCCTTATCAACACACAGGGCATTTCCTCATTATCTGCCAGCCTGCCTGCCCTGCCCTGTGCTTGTTCCTGGCTGGCCACCTTCCACCTCTCGACACTGATCCCTGGAGATGGGTCCCACCTTGCCAAAGCCACCTTGACCATTGTCCCTCTCCACTCCCAGAGTCTTTGCAGCAGCAGGGCTGGATCCAGCATGGACGGGGATGTGTTTTGGAGGGTATTCCTGTGGTAGGGAAGCTCATCTGGTGGGAGCATCCTGCTGCTGCCACCAGCTCATCAGCGATGCCCTTCTAGTAGCTAAATGTGTTACCTGAAACGGTGAAATCCACTGATTGGAGGGTTTTGGGGAATCTCTCCACCTCCTAGGCTGATCTCCCCACTCCAGACCACCCCTTTGGGTGTGCACTGGGTTACCTCGATTGGTCCTGTTTCGGTCACATGCCTGGGAAGCTCATCCATGGCTTGGAAAGCAGCTGGATGAAGATGGGGGGGGGGCCGTTTTTACAGATCTGGGAGCTTAATTTTGGGGTTCTTTGACCCAAACGATGGCCAGATCCAGCCACACCCCCGGGTCCCGTGCTGTGTGTTCCAGGGAACAGCGGCTTGGGAATGTACCACGGGAAGTTCAGCTTTGACACCTTCTCCCACTGCCGTGGCTGCCTGAAGCGTGGGATGGGCTGGGAGGCCCTCAATGCCCCCCGCTACCCCCCCTACAGCCAGAAGAAATTCGGGATCATCCGGGCCGCTTCCAAGGTGACGCGTAAGAGTGACTGCGTCCTGCTCTGAGGGCCCCTGTGTCCCATTCCAAGGATCCCAACCCCGGCTGTAGTGTCCAGGTACAATGAAGCGTGTTTACCCACATCCTGTGTCTTCTCCTCCATGTCCCCGCTCACCTCAGCAGTCCCCTGTCCCCCTCATCTCCCTCCATCCCAGTCCCACATCCCCTTTCCTGGCTCTGTGGGGCTCCATCACCGCCGGTCCCACCGCAGCACAGGGGTCACCTCCATGTCCCCCCACTGAGGACTCTGCTCTGAGGAGGTCCACAGCAACGCCCTGATCCCAAATCCTTACGCTGGAATGATCCTGGTCTTTACCACGATCCCAGTTTCCCTTGATCCACGACCTCCGTTTCTCCTGCTCCGTGACCCCGGTTTTCTTTGCGCCGTGACGCTCCAGTTTGGGGGGGCTGGTTGTGCTCGGAGAAGGGATTCCCACCCCTGCCGGGCCGTGGAGTGCCGCGGCTGAATCCCAGAGGGATCCCCCTGGGTAGGACGGGGGAGGAGAGAATCTGAGAAGGGTGTTGAGATAAAGACACTTTAATAGGAAAACACAAGGAAAGGGTGACCGCGCCCAGCACCGGCGCCCCGCTGCCCCCGGGAGCCGGGAGGCCCCGGAATCCCGGGAAGTGCCAGAAGCCCGGGACGCTCTGCTCCGCCGCCGTAACCACGTGGGGCTCCGTCGCCATCAACACGCGCTTCCGCTTCCGCCGGCCGCTCGGACACGCCCCCTCCCCGACCCGGCCAATCGCCGCTCCGCGGGCTCCTCTCCGTCCAATGAGTGACGCTCTGCCTCCCTCCCCCTCCCCGCCTGCGGGGCTCCGACCAATGGGAAGCGCGTTCATCGCCGCGAGCCCCGCCCACCTCACGCGGCCCGCGCGCGCATGCGCAGTGCCCGCGGGGGCGGCCAGGGGTCAGGGCGCTGCAGGTGAGGGGACAGCGGGGGGACCGGGCCGGGCTGGGCTGGGCCGGGCCGGGCTGGGCCGGGCTGGGCTGGGGGTCCCGCTTAGGGCAGAGGGGGCGGCCCGGACCGCCCCCCCCGAGGACACGCGCAAAGGGTGAGCGGCGATTTCGGGGGTGACAGGAGCGGTTGGTCCCGCCGGGGAGGGACAGTGGCTGCTGGAGAGCGGGGAGGGGGCTTGGGGATGATTTTTTGGGGCATGGGGGTAAGCGGGGGGACGCCTGGGTCCTTTGTGAAGGAGACAGGACTCCTGAGTCATTGGGGGGGGACAGTTGGGTGCTTTGGAGGAGAAGTGGGACGTCCCAGGGGGGTGAGCGGGAGGCAGGATGCCCGGGTCCCCTGGGGGGACACTTGGGGTCCCTGGGGAAGGGGTGTGTGTTGGGACACCAGGAGAGAGGTGCCTGGGGTCCAGTGTCTCTTTGGCTGGGGTCAGGGTCCCAGGCCCCCCGTGGGAAGCTGGGGGGCCTCCCTTGCTTGCAGCCCCTGAGGTTCCCTCTTCGCCCCAGGCAGGACCGGCCATGGCGGCGCTGCGGCTGCTGTACCGGGCTTCCCGCGCAGGTGAGGCCACACCAAGCACCCCCGAACCCCACTAAGCCCCATCTCGATCCCTCCTCACTCCCCTGTCCCTCCCTCAGGCCCCCCGGTCCCGCTGCGCCTGCTCAGCACCAGCACCCCCAGGGACTGCTACAGTGAGTAGGGCCGTGACGCCCCTGTGTCCCCTCCGTGTCCCCTCCCTGCGGTGGGCACAGCCCCTGTCCCCAGGGCGTACGGGACGGGCACAGCTCCCTTTTCCCGCAGAGTACGTCAACGTGCAGGAGCAGCCCATGGACATGCGCTCCATCACCGACCGCGCCGCACAGACCCTGCTCTGGACCGAGCTCGTCCGAGGTGAGCCCCGCTCGCCCTGCCCGTCTGCAGGGTGCCATCCACCCGGCCCTGACCTGGCTCTGTCCCTGCCAGGCCTGGCCATGACCCTGAGCTACCTGTTCCGGGAGCCGGCCACCATCAACTACCCGTTCGAGAAGGGCCCGCTGAGCCCGCGGTTCCGCGGGGAGCACGCGCTGCGCCGCTACCCGTCCGGGGAGGAGCGCTGCATCGCCTGCAAGCTCTGCGAGGCCGTGTGCCCGGCACAGGTGAGCCTTCCCCCCGACCCTGCTCCTGCTGCCCGGGGGCTCCGGGGCTGACGCTGTCCCCGTGCCAGGCCATCACCATCGAGGCCGAGCCCCGCGCCGACGGCAGCCGCCGCACCACCCGCTACGACATCGACATGACCAAGTGCATCTACTGCGGGTTCTGCCAGGAGGCCTGTCCCGTGGATGCCATCGTGGAGGTAAGGGGTGCTTGGGGTGGCCTTACAGACCCCCTTTTCCCCACCGTGCTGACCCCAAGGGTGACCTTCCCACTTCCCGCCCCGGCAGGGTCCCAACTTTGAGTTTTCGACGGAGACGCACGAGGAGCTGCTCTACAACAAGGAGAAGCTGCTCAACAACGGCGACAAGTGGGAGGCCGAGATCGCGGCCAACATCCAGGCCGATTACCTGTACCGGTGACGGCCCCCCCTGGCACCCACCCACCACCGAATAAAGGGTCTGGGGGTTCACCCGTCACCGGGGGCACCGACCCCTTCCCGACCCACAGCTCTGTGTCTCTTCCTTTCCAGCACTGGCGTTTGACCCTCCTGAGCCCCAGGGTGATCCCTGAGTGTGTGGTTGTGTTTTGAGAACGAGGACGAGGGTCCTGGGGGTGACAGCAATGTTGGGGTGGGGAATGGGTTGCGGAGAAAGGTGTGGGATGGGGTTAGAGGTGGGCAGGGTTGGAGGGGCAGCACTGGGGGGAATTAGGGGAGAGCTGGGAGACTCATTTCCACTTTCCAAGGGCAGCCAGGTACAGGGGGCTTGGTGGTACTGTTGGGGGAGCCCCAGTGGTGCTGGTGTGAGGCTCTGGGTGATCCCAGCAGGGGGATCAAATGTGGTACAAATGGGAAGGTCCTGGTGGTACTGGTGTGGAGGTCGTGATCACCCTGGCAGGAAGGTCCCAGTGATCCCGTCCTGGGGGTCTCAGTGTGATCCCAGTGATACCAGTATGGGAGTCCTGGGGGTCTCAGTGATGCCAACTGGGTAACTCTGACGGTATTGGTGTGGAGATCTCAGTGGTACCAGTGTGGGTTACCTGGTGATCCCAGTGGCACTGCCAGGAGGGTCCTGGTGATACTGATGAGGGGTTTCCTGGGTCCGAGGGAGTGTGTGTGTGGGGGGCTGTTTCCCATTTCCATCCTCGCTGGATGATGCAAGGGGCCCTGTCTCCGAGGGGCCCCTTCCCACCGCGGGGTGGGATGCGGGATGTCCCAGGAAGGGGGGGTTCCCGTCGGGCGGCGGGGCCGGGCCGGTCGGTCCCTCCCCGGGGCCGGGCTCTTCCTGGGGAAGAGGAAGTGCGGATGGATCCTCGTCCCGCTCCGCCGCGGGGGGGGCAGCAGGGGCAGGTGGGCCCGGAGCGGGGCCGGGGCGGTCCCGGGGCGGGGGGTGCGCTGGCCCTGACTCAGAGGCAGCTGAGCGGGGCGGGGATTGTGGGGAAATAGGAGGTTTGGAAAGTATTTTGCCAGCCCGGTGCTGGGAAGAGCCGCGTGTGACCGGAGCGGGTCGGTTTCCCACGGCCACAGCGAGGCGACGCCGCGGTGCCGCCGCCGCCGCCTCCGGGACCCCCGGGGTGACGCCTGGGGTGACCCCCCCGCCCTGGTGTTCCCCTCTCTAGCCCTGACCCCCTGTCTCTCAGACCCCCATTCCCATCCCGTCCCGTTCCCTCCTGTACCGTTCTATCCCATCCCCAGGCGGGTGCCCTGACGCCTCCGCACCCCGGGCCGGATTGGGGGTCTCTGGGGCTCTGGGGGGGCCATGGGGTCCCTGTTCCGCAGCGAGGAGGTTTGCTTGGCCCAGCTCTTCCTCCAGTCCGCCTCTGCCTACAGCTGCATCAGCGAGCTGGGGGAGCGCGGGCTGCTGGAGTTCAGGGATGTAAGTAAGGGTTGGGGATGGGGGCGGTGTGTGTGTGTGGGTGTCTTTTGGGGTGTCCTGGGTGCAGGGGATTGGTCTGGTTGGGTTTGGGTGCCCTGGGTTTGGGATAGGTATTTTGGGGTGCTCTGGGAACGGGGACTTGGTCTGGGTGGGTTAGGGTGCAGGCTGTTTGGGGGGGGTGTGGTTTGGGATACTTATGGGTTCAGGAGGGTCGGTTTGGGGTGCTCTGGGAACAGGGAAGTTGGTCAGGCTGGCTTGGGGCGCAGAGAATTTGGGATGGTGTTTTGCGGTGCCTGTCACCCCGGGATGCTGGACTCCCCATCCCGCGGGGCCATGCCCTGATTGCCCCCCCGCCTCAGCTGAACCCCAAAGTGAGCCCCTTCCAGCGGCGCTTCGTGGGCGAGGTGCGGCGCTGCGAGGACATGGAGAAAACCTTCAGTGAGTGCCGCGGGGGCGCGGGGCTGACTTGGGGGGGGCTTCTTAGGAGGATCTCCCCCTTAGCCCTCCACTCTGACCGTGTGTTCCCCCCGCCCGGCAGCCTTCCTGCAGCAGGAGCTGCGGGGCGCGGGGCGGGTGCCGGGGCCGTGTCCCGAGAGCCCGCGGGCGCCGCTGGCGCGGGAAGCGCTGCGGGTGCAGGAGCAGTCGGAGCAGCTGGCTCAGGAGCTGCGGGAGGTCAGCCGGAATCGCGCATCCCTGCGCGGGCGCCTGCGGGACCTGCGGCAGTACCTGCATGTGCTGCGGGAGGGACGGCGCTTCACCAGCCTGCCGGTGGGTCGGGGCGACCCCGCCGGCCGCGGGGGGGGCTGCTTGGTGCCTCAGCTTCCCCCTCCCCGCAGACTCATCCCTCTGCATCTCTGCAGGCCCCCCTGGGCTCTCCGCCACGGCCACGGGCGCTCTCGGAGCGTGAGCCCATCCTCGACCCCTCCCTGCACCAGCACCTCGAGCGCAAGATCAAGTGAGAGGGGCTGGGGCGCAGGGGGTGGGGGGTGAAGAGGGGCCATGGGGCAGTGACGTGGCCACGGGGCAGCTGGGAAGCTGTGGGATCAGGGTTGGAGATGGCCTGTGGGACAGTGGCGTGGCTGGGGGGCAGCTTGCCCATCCCGACACCCCTGCCGTGTCTCTGCAGCTTCGTGGCTGGCGTCATCCACCCGTGGCGAGTGACCGCCTTCGAGCGGCTGCTGTGGCGTGCCTGCCGCGGGTACCTGGTGGCCTCCTTCGTGGAGATGCCTGAGCCCATGGAGGACCCGGCCACGGTGAGGGGGCACCCGGTGGGGAAACTGGTAGGGTTGGAGGACTGGGACACCAGGGTGACATGGGCTGCGCTGTTCCCAGGGCGAGAGCATCACCTGGGTCATCTTCCTCATCTCCTACTGGGGCGAGCAGATCGGGCAGAAGATCCGCAAGATCTCGGACTGGTGAGGGGCCGTGTCTGTCCGCACGGAAGTTTATTTAGTAACACCCACTCTGGATCCCCACGCAGGGCTGGGCTGGGAAGCCCTGGCACACCCTGACACGGCGGTGTCCGTCTGTCCCAGCTTTCACTGCCAGGTGTATCCGTACCCGGAGAGTGAGGCCAGCCGGGAGGACACCATTGCCGGGCTGCACAGCCAGATCCAGGATCTCAGTGTGGTGAGCCGGGTCCCATGGGGAGACGTGGGAGCCATGCCAGGACCCACATCCCTGACCCAGGTGCCCGCAGGTGCTGGAGGAGACGGAGCAGTTCCTGGCACAGGTTCTGGACAAGGTGGCGCTGGCGCTGCCCGCCTGGCGCGTGCAGGTGCAGAAGATGAAGGCCATCTACCTCATCCTCAACCAGTGCAGCTTCGATGTCACCGAGAAGTGCCTCATTGCTGAGGTCTGGTGCCCCGTGCAGGACCTCACCCAAGTGCAGGATGCCCTGCGCCAGGGATCGGTGAGTGCCTTGGTGCCCCTGTGTCCTTGTCCTGGGCAGGCTCCATGTCCCCCTGTCCTTACAATGGGGGTGTCCTCGTGCCAGAGCTGCTTGGTGTCCTCGTGCCAGTGGCTGCTTGGTGTTCCCACATTCTTGTGCCAGGGTTTGCCTGGTGCCCTTAGGCCCTCGTGCCAGAAGTTACTCGATGTTCCCCCGCCCTCGTGCCTGGGTTTCTTGGTGCCTCCACGTCCTCATGCCGGCAGTTGGTTGGTGTCCTCGTGTCCTTGTGCCAGGGGTCGCTCAGTGTCCCCATGTCCTCGTGCCGGAGGTCACTCAGTGTCCTTATGTCCCCTCACCATTGTGGGGCATGTGCCAGGAAGGGGGGTGCCGGGATCAGGCTCCAGGAGCTGGGCAGGGGGGGTTGCCATGGGGTGGTGCCATGCAGGGGAGGTGCCAGGATCAGGCTCTGGATGCTGTCCCCACAGTACCAGAGTGGCTCCAGCGTGGAGTGCTTCGTGCAGCGTGTCCCCACCTCGGAGAGCCCCCCCACCCTCATCCGCACCAACAAGTTCACTGCCGGCTTCCAGAGCATCGTGGACGCCTATGGGGTGGCCAGTTACCAGGAGGTGAACCCCGGTAAGGCCCCCCCGGACCCCCGCCACGGCCCCGAGGCTGGGGATGGCACCCCACATGATGCAGTCCCTGTGTCCCACAGCGCCCTACGCCATCATCACCTTCCCCTTCATCTTTGCCATCATGTTTGGGGACGTGGGGCATGGGCTGCTCATGTTCCTCTTCGCGCTCTGGATGGTACTGTACGAGGACAGCCCCCGCCTGCGGCAGGGCACCAACGAGGTAGGGGCAGGACAGAAGGGTGGGATGGGGTTGGAAGTAAGGGGTGGGCTGGGGGACGTGGAATGGGGTTGGAGATGTGGGATGGCCTTGGAAGCATGCGGTGGGGTTGAAGGTGTGGAGCAAGGTTGGGGGTGTGGGATTGGGGTTGGAGGCATGGGATAGGGTTGGTGACACAGGGCGGGTCAGGGCTGGTGGTGTGGGGGAGGGGGATGGCGTGGGGCAGAGGAGATAGTGAGAGACATGGGAGCCTTATTTGCCCCCACCAGATCTGGCTGACGTTCTTCGAGGGGCGTTACCTCATTCTGCTCATGGGAGCCTTCTCCATCTACACCGGCTTCATCTACAACGAGTGCTTCAGCAAAGCCACCGTCATCTTCCCCTCTGCCTGGAGCGTGGCCACCATGGCCAACCACTCCTCCTGGAGGTGGGATCCCACCCCTGTGCCCCCTGCCTGGGTCCCTGGGTCCCTGTCAGTGCTGACATGCCTTGCTCTGCCCCCAGCTCTGCCTACCTCGCCACCCACCCCTCCCTCACGTTGGACCCCAATGTCACCGGTGTCTTCCGAGGGCCGTATCCATTTGGGATCGACCCGGTGAGTGTCCCCTGGCAGGGACAATAAGGTGGGACCCTCTTTGGGGTGGCACAGAGTCTCACCCACCTTGTCTACAACAGATCTGGAGCTTGGCCACCAACCACCTCAACTTCCTCAACTCCTTCAAGATGAAGATGTCAGTGGTGCTGGGCATCGTGCACATGGGCTTTGGTGTTGTGCTGGGGGTCTTCAACCACCTGTGAGTCCTCAGGCTGCTCCCACTGGCTCTTGTCATGCCAAGGGGACCAGGATTGAACTCACCTGGGTGGGACGGGGTGGGTGACTTGGGTCCTG